GAAAATGACGCTAAGGCAGAATATCTTGACCGGTTTTTCGTATCTCTTTTCACCGATAAAACGGACTTTGACGAGACTGGCTTGCCTACTGGAAAAACCGACGAAATAATAGAAAACATCGACTTCACGGAAGATGATGGGAGGAAAGAAGTTCTGGCGCTTAAGGAGGGTAAGTCTCCGGGTCCAGACCAAATTCCGGCAAAAGTTCTGAAGGAGTTGGCTTGCGAACTCGCCAGACCGCTTTTGCACATCTTCAGGTCGTCCTTTGACCGAGGCCTTCTCCCTCTGATTGGAAAGTGGCGAACATATATCCCATTCACAAGGGTGGATCTAGAACAAGTATAAACAATTATCGGCCGGTGAGCCTAACGTGCATTTGTTGCAAAGTCATGGAGAGAATAGTCAAAAAATTTATAATGAAGTTCCTTAAAGAAAATACTTTAATTGCTAGTTCCCAACATGGTTTTCGACGAAATCACACCTGCCTAACTAATATGCTCTTGTAAGAGACAAACCCACTAGTTGGGCACAGCGAGTAGGCTATCCAGGATACGAAAATAGCAGTGTCCCAACAGTTACAAACTAGTAAATAAGAACAAAGTCGTCGGCAGGTAAAAGTGCACGTGCGTGTTGTTTGTCTTATTCAAAGTTGTCTCGAAGCGTATTGTAACTGATTAAAACAAAACAGACTTAAATGTCACTACACTCTATTCAACGGAACAGTGATCCCGCTCGTTAGACGAAGGAACAATGGTCGATATCGTTTACATTGATTTCAAGAAAGCCTTTGATAGTGTTCCACACCACCGGTTACTTTACAAGGTCCGAGTGTCAGGGATAAAGAGAAACCTATTAAACTGAGTAAAGGACTTCCTGACTGGTCAATCACAGTCTGTGTGTATTGGTAGTGCGAAGTCAACGCCAGTGCCAGTTGTGAGTGGAGCTCCCCAGGGCTCTGTACTCGGACCAGTACTATTTTTACTTTATGTCAACGACTATATGAATGGACTGGACTGCAATGGATTCATGATTGCCGATGACATCAAATTATGGCGAGCGATCAACGGCGAAAATGAACAGGCCCTGCAAGAAGGACTGAACCGTCTATGCGAATGGTCTGACAAATGGCTGCTGAAGTTTAACCATGAGAAGTACATCGCGCTGCGACTCAGAACGACTGGAAGAGCCGATGGAGAGGATCACCATTACCTGTTTGGTGAAAGGGGCCTTTCAAATGTAACCGGACAAAAATATCTTGGGATCAACATTTTGTCGACTCTTAAGCCTTCCTCTCAGTGCGTTAGCGCGGCCAAAATGTCAACCAGTGTTCACTTTGCAATGAAACAAACTTTCATAGACAGAGACAAAGAGTTATTTGGAAAAGCATACGGAGCATCCATTCGTTCGCATCTAAAATATGGAATCTAAGCTTGGCGCCCGTGGCTAAAAAAGACTATAAGTTGCTAGAAAGAGTTCTGAGGAGAGCGACAAAATTGTAAAAGGCCTCAGGACTTTACCTTACAACTGCCGACTTAGTAAACTTAAATTACTTCCTCTTGAGTACAGGCAGATTCGAGATCTTATACGGGCGTATCAGATATTGAGCAACCGGGACTGTGCCCTAAACCTCGACAATTACGTTACCCTGGCGACAACAACAAACCTGCGTGGGAACTCTCTAAAACATAGAGGATCCCGATGCCGCCTGGGCGTTCGTAGATACTGCTTTTCACAGCGAATCGCCGCTGCCTGGAATGGGCTTCCCGAGGACGTAATAATAGCGGATACCACGGAGACGTTCAGGCAAAGACTAGATGTATATTTGCTTGGACAGTACCGCTTGTCTGGACAGAACAACTCTGTGGTGCCAAACCAACGCCTTGCATACACCTACCGCTAATGCGAATGACTGTCATTTCATTTTACCGATATCATCTACAACTGAATGTTCAGGGGTTTCGGCCCTGCATTTTCAAGGGAAAATATTCTGTTAAGTGTATATATTACTGACAACATTTTAGTACCATGTTTGTGTAAAGTTAGACACTGCATGTACCGTTTACAATAGGGTTTTCAAAGTCATTGCCTATTACCCTTAAAATACACTGACCTATGCTGACCTAATCACATTTGGTTCATGTTACCCGCCCATCCTACTGCAACGTCTGTAATCTACCAAATCTGATACAGTAAGCTGACTACCCAAGCAGGATTCCCTAAGTAACCCATCTCGAATCCGCCGGATTACTACCAGGTTTACGCAATTAATAGATCTTTTGGCAGATTTTGAATAATTCATATTGACCTACCTGTGTAAACTCGGTGCCTCGATTAGATTCGAACCCAGAACAGCAAGGGAAGCCTTTAGTATGTAATGACAATTAAGTCCGTTTTGTTTTACTCAGTTATAATACGCAGGTTAAAGAGCTTGACACAACTCTGAATAGGGCATAGAACCAACACGTGCATATTTACCTGCAGATGACTTTGTTCTTACTTACTAGTTTGTAATTGTCAAGATATTGCCATCCGCGTTTCCTGGATAGCCTACTCACTGTGCCTAACTAATGGGTTTATCACTTACATTGGCGATCCCGTATCGTTCATAGCTCCTCTTTCATTTTTAAGCATAACCATTTCCATTCTGATTGATCCTCACTCCACTTATTGTTGATCAGGTTATTTATCTAGCCCTTATTTGGTATTCACGCTGTCTTACCTTTTCATCCACCGCGAGTGCTACCCTTCAGTCTCACTGTCAACGCGCCAGTCATCTACCCTACTTATTTGACCTCTGACCGTGATCGGCTAATTATGTTCGACGAGTCTACCAACCAGCAGATAGCCGGCATTGACACCTTTGACCTGTTTATTTAAAGTTATATTCTGAATGTGCCGTTTACAATAGGGTTTTCAATGGCGTTACCTAGTACCCTTAAGATATACTGACCTATACTGACCGATCTTCGATAGTAATTAATAAAACGCGGTTACCGGTGTGAAGTGGATGGCGTAGGTTGCCTCAGCAGACTCGACTGAGAGAAGACGTGCAGCATCTCTTCGTTCGTTCTTGGCTCATGAATTATTAGCGGTAATTATGCTTGCTGTGGTACTCGTGGTGGTGTTGGCCAACCAAGCAGCTGCCTCGGACGACAACGTAGGTCGTCATCAACGTCTGAGTCCGACGCCTTCCTGCGAGCATATTTGCAAAGGAATAATAACGGTATAGGACATGTACTTTGCACTCATGCCCCAGCCTGATCCGCCCGGCTCGGAGATAGAGAGGTTGTCCGTTAGCTCTGCTTCTCGGACCAGCTCTCTGGCTCTCAGCAGTGTCGTATTACTTTTTAGTGTCCTCACAGCGTACACCTTGGCGCCGTCTGGTGGCCACCTGTAATTATTCAGCAGAACAGTTTTGAGGAGGAGGAAATGTGCTTTATTTTGAAATCGTAAATTCAAAATTTTCAGCAAAAAATTGGCTCCATTCACTGTGGGTAGTAAATAAGTTAAGAGATTATTCAACAGTCAAAGAAACGATTATTATGGGGATAGTTCAAGTCTGAGCTTCTGTATTTCTGTCTCTTCGCACGTAAGATAGCGCTCTAGGAATGGTAATACAGAGGCTCGATAAGCCGATGTGCGACAGGGTATAAGACGGAAGTTGCGGCGCATCGGGCGGGAAGACTTGGCAGCCATAAGATCGGAATGTAGGGGATGGGCAACGTCATCTAGAATTCGACCAGCAAATTGCTTGACCGCATTGAAGTGTCGTTGTAAGATTGTGTCAACTAAAAAAAATATAAGAAACGCCAGCAGCAGAAGAGAGCATGCGGAGGATTCGTTTCAAAATTAAAAGATCCTTTTTTAACAAAGCAGGAAAAACGACAGGAGAACAGTATAGGATAAGAGGAAGAATGCAGGCATCAATGAATCGCCAGACTAAGGGTTGAGGTGTGTGGTAGGAACGCAAACGACGAATGTAGTAAAGAAGTTTACGAACTTTAATAAATAGGGACTCAATATGGAGGGAAAAAGAAAGATTTGAGGACAAAGTAACGCCGAGATACCTGAAAGAGGATACCTCATTAGGAAGAATGTCAGAGGAATCAGGGTTAGGAGCGGGCCGCAGTCGAAAAATACACTGAACGGATTTTTGGTTGTTAATTAGGAGACCATCGTCAGCATACTTGACCAGAAGACAGTCATTAGGGGACCACAGTTCACACTTTGTGGTTCTTAGGCCACATGACGCTGCTGACGGCGCAAAACCAGGCTGCTGCCATCACGGCCACAATGTTGTAGTTTACAATGTCAACGATGGAATACGTCTACGGAAAATCAAAAACTCAGAGGAGCACTGCAAAGAAGAATCACGGGCAGTATGCAATAGGGGAATCAGAAAAAACGGCCATCGATATTAAAAGAAACGTATTTAAAAATTGTTTTTGAGAGGGCAGCAGTTGAAGGAATGCCTGATTTACGGGAGGCTCTAAACATATATATGGAGGAAGAGGGAAGAGATGTTGTGAAAAGGTCCTCACAGTCAAGGAACGGGTGGTGCGTTATGACGGTGGCAGACAGTGGGTCTATTTCCGATAAAAACCACATTATCGGGCGGCTCAGTTGACAGAACAAACTCTCTGTAGGAAACAGCGATGGAGCTGCGAGGGAGGCTAAATGACCGTGCCACTCCTTCATCATCGTCTACCAACACTGGGCATGTTGGTCGCGGCTTGGTTCGTCTTCCATATAAAATACTTACGGAGGTAAGCACGATATTTGACCAAAGTATACATATGAACAGAGGTACTTTCAGAAGACGATCAAGTTATGAGGAGAGCACTGAACAATTTTGCAATTCTCTTGTTTATCTGTACCAAGAAGTTGGACATCTGCGAACTGCGCGGGAAGGCGGCCCTGTTTTCCGCTTGGCTCTTAAGTGTCGGCGCCATAGCGAGTACCTTATTCCTTGGCCGCTGTCACTATCACCGGCTTACAGTATGTCGTCTGCTGTTGCTCCCAAAGACGACGCTAACAATGTGTCAGAAGTATCTGCCAACATTGAGTTTGATGAACTATTCGACGTTCCTGACTCAATTCCTCCCAAGGAAGTGGATACATGCGCTAGTGAAAATAAAAAGGAGGTAACATCCGACGAACATACTCAGCTGGAGATGGATCTTGACCCGTCTAACTCAAAAAATGACTCCGTTAACAGCACAAAGGAGTCGGAAAAGGAGCCTGCCAAGTGCATCTCCCCGATCCAGTGGGATTTACTGAGTGATGGTGAACAGCTGCAAGACACCCTTCATGTTGACGCTCCGGAAGATGAGTTTTCTAGGGAAGAGGAAGAGGAAACTCAGCCAAAAAACATACTTGATGCTAGTACGGAGAGTTTTTCTCAGGATTCTTTAAAGGATACGGCGGATCACGAATTGCCTGAAGACCTTCGTCGCATTTTCGTAAACACACGATATTTCCTGATAAAGAGCAATAATCACGAAAATGTTGATATTGCAAAAAAGAAAAACGCTTGGGCAACTCCGACTGCAAATGAGAGCCGCCTCAACAAGGCCTTCTTCGATTATGACAACGTTATACTCATATTCTCCGTGCGAGAAAGTGGCAGATTTCAGGGCTACGCGCGGCTCTCATCGCCCTCAGACCCACGAATGCATATTAGTTGGGTGTTACCACCTCGTATGTCCTCTAACTTATTAAGCAGTCCATTCAAACTTGATTGGATCAGCAAGTAAGATTTGCCATTTTTGTTACCTTGATGTTCAGACAAGAGCTCCCGTTCCCGAAAACGGTCCATCTTAACAATGCCTGGAATGAAAACAAGCCTGTTAAGATTGGCCGAGATGGACAAGTAACACTTGGTGAACCTTTTTAACTTAATACATTTAGGAGATCGAGCCAGTCTGCGGTGAGGCGCTCTGCCGTCTGTTTCCGGTCGACAAACCATCGAAACTTCCGGACATTTTATCAAAAATCGAAAGTCACAAACCCTCTGGAGACTCCCACAGACGCAACGCCTTTGAGCGACTTGGTATGGCCGATAACTCCAGGCCGCACGGCGCGGGGTCCAGGCGTATGCGTGATTTTGGTTTCCAGAACTCGAATTCTGTCGGCCTTTTGGGTGCAGCCACTGGCGCACGCTATCAGACTGGAAACCGACGTTCTATCCTCCCGGGGGTAGGCTTCCCTGGAAATAGCACTAAACCGAGTGCCTCTGCGACGCCACTTATGCAGGTGAACGCGACTGCTGCTGCGATGGCTGCCGCTGCTGCCATGGCGGCCATGACAAATCCATCTGCGGTACGAGGACCCGTGGATCCTACACGTTTGTCCGCCATGGACTTTCCTTTCCTCATGGCGTCTAATCCTCAGTTATTGCCTCAACTTCTTCCACAGTCTGCAACGCTGCAAGGACCGTTTGAGCGGTTGCCGATTGGAGGCAATCCATCAGTTTCCTCCCGTCTTGGACTACCGACTGGAATGCCGGGGCCTACGCTAGGCCGAATGGCCTCAAACTCAGCGTCCGAGGCGTTCAACATGGAGCCCAAAGAATCCTCTCAACGACGGTCCAGGGGATATCCCCGTCGAAGCAGTCGTCGTGGTCGGAGCCGTTCATCGAGCTATGCTAGTGATGTTAAGGGTCACAGGAGTTCGAGTTCCAATGGTTATCGTTCTGGCTCATACCGTGACCGTGAATCCTATCGTCGCCCATCTCGAACGAGGTTAGGTGGCGGTGCTGGTTCCTTGGCTGTCGTGGTTCATGATTTTATTTCTTTATTCGCGGACAATGAATTAGCTCTCCTTTGGATTAAACCCCTACGGGGTTCTTCCATTAGCCACACGCACGCATACCATGCCTCTACTATAACACTAACTGAACTATCCCCTAGGATGTCAGATCGTACACAAGATAGCATCCGTCTTGTTTATCAATTTCCTATCTTTATGGATTGCTACATTTGCACTGTATTTTGCCTATTGCTATTTTGCTTGACTGTCAGTTTTAAGGAGTTTGTTTTATTAGTATTTTCATTTGTACCTGTGAATCAGAAGTCGTGCTGTCATCATCGGCCTTGTTTTGCACGGCTTCGTTCGACACCACGTAACTTTCTCGAATGGGCGCCCTAAAGGCCTTGTTCAGGCGGCCGGGCCGAAGTATCTGACAACAAATTACGAATGCCTAATCGTTTTTTCCTTTTCACGTCAAAATTTTGGAATCAAGGAGCAGGGCATCTCGTGAACGCTCTCCGCCTCGTCACCAGTCTGCCTGTAAGTCCGTTCATGCTTCCATTTTTTGTTTAAGGAGGGCCGCATTTTTAGTCAGTAGCGTGTTTCCCAGAAGCGTCACCTCGATTTGATAGAGTTTCATTCGTCACTAGCCTGGGACTCCCTGCAGCAAATTTTCAAGCGAGTGCTTACCTCTTACAGCATGGGCAGTAATCTTCAAGATATTCGCCCGAATGTATCATACAGTTTCTATCGATTCGAGACCTATATTGCCACGAGTCAACCTAGCCATTAGAGGTTAGAATTGTTCAAGGATAAGCTGTGGAGATTGTTGGTGATGTGAGGGTGATATTGAAGGCGACGACGCCAGTTACTAGGTAGCTCCGAAGGTTCTGTCTGTCATAGCCTTCTGTCTTTTCTATGACCCGTTTTGATTAAACAGAACTGTCCTTCTTAATACTAGTTTTTAGCTATCGTGTTCGTTTCTTGAGCTTCCGTGGCGCCCTGTTTGAGAAAAAAACAGCGCAAACCAGCTAGAATCGGGTTCTAATCTCAAGTCTTCGCAGCTTTGGGTTTGGATATGGATGATTTGGTTAATGTCAGCATACGAGTCAGAAATGGCCATTCCAGTTTTCTATTTTTGTGCACCATGATATGCAACGAATTGGTGTCGCCACGATAAATGTAACCAACGGTGAATATGGGACAAAAACTTCTGCATTGTTTTTGGCGTTTAGTAGTTCATAGTAATACTTCATATTAAGACTCCACACAGAGGTAACATGGGCAGTCGTGATATCTTCCCAGACTCATCCTTTAGTGCTGTTTCAAAACTTCGCTTCCGTACGCCGTCTGCCGAATTCGCAATTTCGCAGTCTTCTTTATACGGCTGTCTATTGCTGGCGGTCCGTCAATGTCCTCCCCTCTCGAACTACCGACTGGAATGCGGAGACGGACGCTCTGCCAGATGACCCCCAGCTCGGCGTTGAAGTAGACAGTCCTCCTGTCCAACTTCATGATGTTTCATCTCCTGTGTAGGCTACTTTGAGTGTGCTTACTACAGTTTCTCCCCATTTGAACACCTCCCGTCCTTCACCGCGCACCCTTCTTGTGTGTCAGCGTTTCAACGACGCATCCAGCTTCTCGGTAGCTGGCCTATGTAATGTCCTCATTTAGTATCTAAGGCGAACGAGACAACCAGCAGTCAGCATTTCTGCAGCCACTGCTACGCGTTTTAAAAAAAAGAGCTCTATGGCCTGACCCGCAAAAACATTTGCTACAACCAGACACATCCGACTCCAGCGTCTCCAACACTAGCCGCAGTTTTCTCCCAAGTCGTGGTAGTTGATTTTGCGCCGAAGAAACCATACAAAACGCACAATGATGAGCATCACTGCTGACGCCCCACACCAAGTCCGTGGCCGATGGCATTTGCATTGTATATGGTCTCAGCGCACAGCGCTTAGGTCCCTGATTCCTACACGTCCTCTGGTCAGTCAAAGCAGGGGATTCGCACCCAATTCTAGGACCGCCTGTATGCTATCAACTCTTCTAGCGAAGCAACGTAATGCAGCTGAGCTCACAAAAGTATCATGCTAGAGGCAGTCCAAACTAATCCTACAGAAATGGTGTGCACTCAGTAATCGCTGGGACGCATCCCGTGCTAGCCAGTTTCTTCTCTGCGTTCGACCACCGCATTTATATGGATATGGTAGATGGAACTTACTCTCAATGACTTCCACCGGGCAGGTCGTGTGACAAGCCGGGAACACGGGCCACGTCGAACCCAGTGTATTTGGACCGATTGAAAGAACAGCACTTCTGATCACATGTGGGTCCATCACTCCCACTCAGAAATCATGCTTCACTCCTGCTAGTTTCGTCCTTTTGTCATCCTACATGATTTGGCAAAGTTAGAATTCAAAGTAGTTAATATGCAGATGTGGTGCTGGATTTGCGTACTCATGTACGGAGGATTCTTTGATCGATTTCCTAATGGTAGTTGCCGCGACGCCTGGCAGATAGAGGGTTTAGCCGAAAGAGTGTGTCGTTCACTTTGACTTTGCTTTCTGTCCTTTTAGATCACCGGGACCCAAGGAACAATGTAGGATCAGTTTCGCCATCAAACAAGAACTTTATTAATTGGGTGAGTAATACATGTAATCCTTTGATTAGACTACATGCGACCCCGCTAATCTAGTCGTTTCCGCCCTCCACCAGGACATGCAGATCTCACCAACCGAGGTGTTTTAGGTAGGGCATTTTCGATATGCTCACGAATCGCGATTGCTCAAGAACACCGCATCTGCCTGGGGGCACGCGCGGTTTAGTTTCAGCATCATGTGTGCATGGAGATACTTTCGTGGCTCCATGTCATTCGACCAGTTGAAATAAAACTACTGGAATAGTTCACTGTCTCATTGGTTTGGTGTGAGGCAGGAAATCTCTTCAATTCAGCAAATCGTAATAATTAGTTGCGTTGCAGGCAGGGTCGTAAAACATCGGAAAAGACCAAGTGTAACGTTAAAGGCACCTTTGCTGTCAGGCGCACTCACCTCCTCGCTGCTGGCCACATAAGTGAACAAAAGGTGCACTTGAGGCAGTTCCGCGACTCGAAAACTGACGCGGCAGCTGCATAGTCACTATATTTGATTACGGCCATTGCCCACGCTGTCGTAAACATAATTTTTTCTAATGAAACCAACACAGGAAAGGCGTTGGCTGGGAAAACGGGCATTTTATTTGTCAACTGGGTCAACCTTTTGAATCCGAAGGTAATTGAATTTTTAGCCCAGTAGAAAGAGGACGGCCAAATCGATGTGTCCACTAGTCGGAGCGAAAATCCGATAGGCGCCGTAAGGATAAAGATGTTCCAGTTTCAACCAGCCCAAAGCCATTTACTAATGCCATAAGACACTCCTTTGTAATCCCCTTGATGTAACACGGTTTCCATCTTTGTGATTTTGTCTGAATTTGCAAGCGTACTTTTGCCGTTTCTACCAAGAGATGTAGTACGTCTGCAGCAGGCTATAGTAGGGAGGTCTTCGTGACGTATACGGTTAAGATGTTTGCAGTAGCGCTCAATTTAGCTTCCGATTGCACATATTCTACATCGCCCCCTGTCGGAACTTCGATTCCAGTGAAAAGGGGGAAGGGGTTCTCCTTTAATCAGTTGCCTTAGTGCCGCATGATCTCGTCACCTTGGCTGCTTGAATTTTGACAAGCAGTGGCATTTTGGATTTGTAGTTAGATTTTATAGTACTGGTTTAGATCTCGTATCACACCACTCTCCACTTGTTACTGTAGTTGGTCTTTTTCCGAAGAACAAGAGGCTTCTTACCAGGTCCATCCCCAAGGAAAACAGTAAAAATAAGCAGTATTTATAGTGTTTAGTCGACAAGTGGCCGATGTCGCCTATCTGGAGATATGCTCGCAAGTTGGTGCTTTGAAGTACTCGTTGTCGCCTTTTATTAAGTCCCAAAAGGGATATCAGGCGTCTATTACTTTCCGGTTCCCCTTATTGACGGTCACTGCAGTCATCTTTCTGCCGTCAAAGATGAATTCCTGGCTTATCTTCAGTGTGGACAGCTTTCCTTACTTGTTCGTCCTCTCTCAAATCCTATTCGCGCCGACGCAATCCCAATCATCGTCCAGCCTGACGGGCGTAGTTGCGTGAAGTCTGATAGGCCGGATTCAGCGTCTACATGATTTTTTATATGCAGTACCCAACTACTCATCTTGACCTCAGGTCGATAGTGTGACAGTGCGTCCCGTTGTTTCTGGATCGGCCCTCCCTTATAGCCAAGAATGTTATCGCTTTGACGAATTCCGAGTTTTGCGCAGTCATGGGCGAGTATGCAAGAACCGGCTAATGAGACCCTTAGGCCCGTTCACTTCATTCTGGTCTGACGTTCCTTGATAAATACTTATGGTGAGGCTTTCGTTGACCATCAGCCGAGCCTGTGTCAACCCTCTGGTCTGTTTCTCTGTCGGTGAGTCAAGCATTCTTCCGGGAAACCCAGGCAGTTGAGTCCCCCGAGTTCTCGCGAGCCGCGGCTTGATATTAAAAATGACCTTTGTCAGTTCCCTGGCTCTTACATTCTCCTCACTCCAAAACTGGCAACTGGTCCCTACCTTGTGTTGATGGCTCAGTGAACGGTCAAACCGGGTTGCGAACTGTTTTATCGTATGACCATTACATAACGAGGGTTGTCAGGTAGTCCGCGTATGGCGACGTCGGCCAGGCATGCGGCAATTGAATGATAATTCGTGCAAAAGTATCCTTGTGGTCCAGCCGTTCTTGAAACCACCGCGTTTTCGAATCCTAAGGACGCTGACCCAATAAGAGGTGTAATTCGTTTACGTCACCAATATTCAACTGTATGTTGCATTTTGTCGGGAGGCAAAAGTAGCTTGAAACGGCCGCTTCATACTACAGCAGTCAGACCTTGGGCGCTCCGACGGGCTGCTACTCATCATGTCGTTCAGTGTTTGCCGAGGTACGGCTGCATGTAATCGACGGATTTTGTATAATATTCTCGAGTGAATCCCACAGAACGACAGATTACCGTCGTTGTGCTGGCCCCCAAACAAATGTTTGAAATACCCTACCGATTCCAGCCCCCTTTGCCTATGCCTCCAATCTCCTGTCTTTTACGGAATTCGCGTCGCCCCTTTGTCTTTTGCTTCCGGTCGGAGCTAATTTTGGTTGAAAAAAGAGCCGACTCCTGGCTTAAATGCATGTGCCTGCATCGCAAGTTATGCAACTTTGCCAGACAGTTGGACGGTTGCGTACACGATTGTAAAAGAAGTATGCGGCAATTATTCTCCGCTGAACTGTTGGGGCGACCTCTGTCCATACACACAAATACATAGAGTAGTTTTTTACAAGTAACCCGCTGAGTCGATGCATCACCATTTGAATGCGAGCGTTGCAAACTACTTTTCGCAGTTAGTTGATCACACTGCCAAAGTTGTATAAACGCGACCGAACTCTGACTACACACGACAGTTCGGCTCTTGATTTTTGACCGTGTGCTCCACAGCTGGGTGGGAGGAGGGACGGCGACTTGCACGTGAATTATTTTATTGGGATAGCGGACTTGCGAAGCATCTACCTCATTCTCTCCTCCACCCGGGCCCCTTGTCGTGATTAAGTCAAGAAAACTGGGGACGGGAGTGGTCGCGGGTGACTGGCACAACAAAAAACCGCACACAGACGTACTACCACGCGCCCTGCTCCACAAAAAATACTTGACCAGGATTTTAGATTACAAAAATGGGGGCGGACAGCACGGACCCCGGTTGGCGCGACATCAGACGGCAACTGGACGCACTACCACACCTCAATGTTGGCATTTGGTATGGGTGCGCATTTCCGACAACGTGTGCCAGAATCTGATGTAGCCCTCGTGTTGGTCCAGCGCATCCACCGCCTGACCCGTTTTAGGGGCAATATAACCCGCTGGGTCCATACATCACTATTTGGATGCGAGCGTTGAAAACCCTACTCTTCACAGTTAATTGAGTGTACTGCCAAAGTTGTGTAAACGAGGACGAAGAGTTTACACGAACCTTGCTTCACCAACGACTCCACCCATGGGGGCCGCTAACCAAACGGCACACAGTAGTTAAGATAGGTCTAACTGCTCTAATGTATTGCTAGTCGACGACAAGTCTGGGACAAGCCCATCGCGTGGTAATTTTTCCCTTCGAACGGACAAAATTATGCCTTAGGCACTTACCCATGTGTACCCCGTATGAGTGTCTTGTTGTTAGAAACCTCTGTTCTGGCTAGCCTTGCATTCCACTTAGTCTTAAAACCGTAATTACGGCAACTTCTAGCCCTTTTCGTATTCATTTTCAAAAGTTGGCTTTTCGGATAGTTGGTAATTACAGTCAGTGAAAGACGGCGTACCAAATTTCACTAAGTTGGAGAGCCTGCCGGACCGTCGGACTTGTCTTTGAAAATTGTTAATACACCACTTCCATGTTGATTAGCTCTCATGTCCTTATTGTGTCCAGCTTGATCACTCGTACTCACTATTGTAACTGGGGTTTTAGAGCCACTTGAAGAAGTTTGTTTTTTGTTTTAACCGGCCGCACTCCCTCTGTCTAAACCAATCACAAAGTTCGTGACCCATGTAAAAAGCCGAAAGGCTTCGGAGTTGAAAGTATTACACGAGGTCGCGCATTAATTGATTACTGTTTCTGGATTCGGCGTAAAAACTTGTGAGCTTCATGCAAGGCCTTTTCAAGGGGTAGTCTAGGACACTAATCCAAACCCATAGTATCGAGAAGCCTCATTGACAAGCCACACCTAGCCTGCACTTATCATGTCGTTGTCCGATTATCCCTTTGCTTCTGGGGATCCCTAATGCAGAGTTGAGTATCTCATTTAGCTCGGTACCAAGTTCCTAAGTTAAGTTTATAATCGATGAAGAATTACTTGCAGTTTGTACGCGACCCGTCTTCGTCATCGTTTCGCGTGGGCCAAACTGGTTTGGAGTACTGCGGCGCATGGAAGGTCCACAGAGAACGGAAGGGGGAGGGAACATGAGGGAAGAGGTCCATAAATGCCGCCATGTCCTGTTTAGGCGTCAGATATGTAGTACCAAGCTGTCTTATGGGAAGTCGTCTACTCATCTGGTGGGTAAGCTCACCCAACCCCGCCTGCCAAAACGGGTCCAGTGTCCGGCCACTCAGGGGGGCGACCAGTCCGGACTGCAAAGGCGGTGCCAAAACCTATAAGAGAGTGGAAGCGAATAGGCTGTCTACCGCGCTAAAGTTTGTCCTCTGGACTTGGCTAAGATTGCCCATCTGAATCCCTGTCCTTGGTATATTGTGTGATGCGAACCTGTTACTAGGCCTCCACTGCGTCTTCGCAGCCCACCGCCCTCTAATAAAACAGACATTTTTTGCACCGACATGACTCCGCGAAAAATGACTGTAGCATTCTGACAGTCTAGCGTTTTGTTTATTTTCCGCCATCACCAAGGACTTAACAGTGAGGCTTGAACCTACTAAATTTCTTAATCAACAAGCAAGCTCTCTCCCTTCATATTTCGCGCGAATTGAGACTGAAATCTGTAGATTTTGAGGAGCATGTTTTGTGGAGAAGACGCCGAAGGAGCGCTTGTCGTTGACGTCCCATTGTAATTCATTGTTTATGCGTCCGTCGCTTCCATCGCTACAACCAAGTTGTTCTACAGACAAAATATCCAGATTGCCCATGCTCTGTGTAAACGAATTTAAAACGAGTAAAGTTGGCTTCAGGCCTTTCAGCATTCAACCTTGAGTTCTCAGAAGATAAGTGAATCCATCGCGTACACTTAAAACTTTTATACAAACTTTGACCCTATGCAAATAGCGCGTCTTCGTACCTGAAGTGGCACACGCACACAGGCGATTCAGACGAACCCTTACATGCTTTGGAAACGCTTAAACTACCACTCGGGTCTTTATTTGTCATTTGTGTTTTATTGCGTTGGTTACACCTGACTCAATATAGAATTAGACATCTTCTATAGGTGACTGTTCCGAACAGTGAGCGCAACCGACTGCATGTTTGTTGAATGCGCACGCGCGCGACCACTCTGGGTAGCTTCAAACACCCGTGGTCGGTCCTTGTTGTTTTGGAAGCCGAAAACGTAACTTCTGCAGCGGGGACACAGTCTGAATGCCTTTGATCACTGACATTTACAAATAATAACAAGGTCGTACGAAGTGCAACTACCGTGTCTGCGTCATGGGAGTCGTATTTTATTGATAAACCAGTTTGGAAGTCCATGGGCTTTCGCTGACTTGTTCGACTGTTTTTTAGCACAGAAACCAGTTCACTCAAACTAGCCCGGTGTGGATGACCACGTAACATTGTTTACCTTGCTGGTCGCTGACAACCGAAGTCTGTGTACAGCGTTTGTGGATGACTATGATTGCGGGTATGTTATTAATGGCGAAACCGACGATGCCGTTCCTGCCGATGGTGGCGGCGGTGGCGAATGATATACTTGCTTCATGCGAAAATGCCGCAAAAGTATGCGTAGATCAGTCAAGTAATTTTGTTGCGATCCCATAGATTAACGTGGTTATCTGTTAACGAGTAACGTAACAGGAAATTAGGGAACGTTTGCATGCCGAATGAACGGCCTCGCAAGCAGATTCTGCTGGAGTTTTCAAACGTGACGTCCTTACTTTCGTACTTTACGTGACACGGCTTCATGCAATGCAGGATACCGGTGGGGAATTTTTATACGGGCATACGATTTACACGCGTCCAGTAAGTTTATTCCAGCAGAGCGAGCACCTAAGCTTATAATCCGAGGTTGGAAAAATGGTGTGGGCACTTATAAGGTCAGAAGTCAGGCTAGCTGCAGGTATACGTTTTGGAGTTAGTGAACTTACACTCCGCTCTGCCTGCCTCGAACTGCTAAAGCGTTGTTCATTCGCCATTAACTGTGGGATCGTGAATGATTTACTTCAAAGCCGTAGTAGAACGGATGGAGAGTATTCCTCCTCCCCCTCCCGCGTGTACAGGCAGTAAGCCGAACTTCTCAGACCTAGTTCGTGCGTAAGGTTTTTAAAACTGAACAGTGTCCTCATGGTACGATTAAGTGCGTCCGGTTAAAACAGTCAACTTCACCACGTCTAACTAGGGCGAGGTAATTGCTCGTAAATACCCGGTAGTAGTCGGGTCAAGGGCATAGTCAAATTCAGGAACCATCTATGCTGAGTCAGCTTTCTGTTATAGTAGGGCGAGTCTTTACAGGCAATGTCATGCGGCGTTGATTGCACTTTGTTTATACTGGTTAAGCTGTCTTGCGGTTAGCGAGTAGATTTGCCGGAAGTAGGAAGAATTTCCTTAAATGACAGTGCCTTCTCTCTGGCCGGCACCAGTCTCTGCTCCAGTGCATTGCACTACACCTCCACGCAATACGATTTAATCTACTTACTGTATTTGCACCATAATTTTGTACCAGAATGTCCGCTCAGGTGTTATATTCTGCCTGCGAGTTCGTGTCCGCTTCTGTCGACGACGATGATGATGAGATCCATAGAAGCGGAAACTTTGCGGGTGTTGTTTGCTTCAGAAGCTTGTGTTGGATTTCGAATTGTTCCAGAGAACAAGCTCTGTTTCCATGCTGGGACGAAGGAGGTAGAAGGTAGCCGAAAGCTTAAGTTGTTTTTCCTTCCGTAAAACCCATCTGGCGTGCTCCCAAACTGCCCGTTACATCTTCAGTACTGACTCGCAACTTTGGTTTTGCAGGCAGTTGTCCAGAACTCCACTGACTCCATTAGACGCCCGGTGAAAACCGCCATCTCATAAGACCTTGAGGAATAGCCGGATTCAGCGCCAGGAGCCCATCTGCCATGAAACTCGATTGGCTGAGCTAATTGACGTGCCATCCGAGATTATTTCGGCCGAAGTTGAAAATGTTTACCTGTTGACTCACTAACGGGCACTTTTTGCCTATTTTGAGCGGTCATCCACCTGCTCGTATTCCTCAAAAAGGTTAAGTATCATGCCTGCATCTTATGACGCGTTGGAACAGGCCCATCTGTCTGCCTCCGTGAAGTCATGCGTCGGAGACAGAAATCGAAAATAATGAAATTCAGACGAGCATTTGGTGAACATACGTTTGCTTCCGATAAATTCTCGTCAGGCCAGTACATCTATATGGGAACGAGGTAGAAGTAAAAACATGTCATCGATTAAAATTCGTCTTAAAACACAGGCGGGGTGTAGGCGTATGCGGGGATGGGGGCAGGGGGTAATAACAGTCAGTGTCAGGGACGGGGTGAGAGCGGAATGGCGTGCGGAGAGTTGCATGGTTAGTCGACTTTTGGTCGTGGTAGGCACGGAGCCTGAACTTGGTTCTTTTGCGCACACAATAAATTACCAAAAACACAGCTATCGGCATAAAAAGGACCTTTTTGTATACTAGGAGAGTAAACCATTCCCGTTGAAAGCGTTGGCTGACAAGGGCAGAAACACTAAACATTTCTGGCTTATTTGCCATTATCAACCAGTAACGCCAGCATCCGGGGCTGCTCATCTGAGATTCGGATCCCGAATTATTTGATCATCGGTGCACTAACGGTGGAGATCGGGATCGTCTACAGCAGTCGCCTGCAAACTGCCAAAGCTATAACTTAAGCGTATGTAACGCTGTCTCCGTTTCGTGGGGTGAGGTATCCTCTGCATAATTTTTGTGTGATGACGTTGTCCGACCCCTGCACGGCTTACCTACGGGGTAATCTCGCAAAACTTCTGTCCTCATATTCTAGGAAGATCTTGTTCGTCAGTAATATTCCATGCGGCCAACTAGCGAGTGCGCAGTCCCTTATCGCACACAGTCCGGGAAATTGCATTTTTTAAATACTGCAATGCACCGAGCTCGTTGGCGCCGTGCCTTACGGGCCTTTGCGTACAAGGTGATCCCTTAAAGCTCTCCCTCACGGAGCGTGTCATCAGGTGTAGTTACCCAGGACTGTTGCGTGGGCACTGGTGGGTTTCCATGCTTGACAGTTCGACCGTCGCGAACGACGATGTCCACACCGTGTGCCCCTCAGCATGGCGGGCGCAGGAACGGCAACTTGCGCGTGAGAATTAGTTTGCAGTGATGATGAACTTGGGCAGCATCTACCACACTCCCCTCTCTCCCTACCTGAACTTGGTGTCAAGATCGAGTCACCAAAACCAGAGGTGGACGCGACTCAGTGACGAGCAAGGTCCGTCTGCGCGGGCCACACACGCTTCGTCGGCGCACAAAGGGTCAGCGTCCCGCAAAACATGAAGGCGACGACTCGGATCCCAACTGAGAAGTTGCCATACTTTGCCATTACGAAATCCCAGCTGCCATAGTTTTTTATGCGTCATAACGGGACTGCACAATGACGGGGCTGCCATCACTAGTTTTACACTCGCTTCCTTTTTCCCCGACCGGTTTGGGAGCGGAATTTTGGGGGCCGACCCCCCGTCGCTACACCACACACACCCGGCCGTTTGGCCGTCGTTTCCGACGATGTCCACCGCCTGCTCTACAGCATGTGCATTAGTTTGTAGAGATAGTAGTCTTGCACTGCATCTACCGCACTCCTTTCCCGTCTGGACATTGCGTCAAGATGATCGGAGTCTGGACCACACCCCCTGGTCCGAAACGTAAACTAGTCAGGATTTTGCACAAAGAAAAATATGAGAGGGAGCGGCTCGGACTCCAACTGGCGTGGCGTAGGCCCGCATCTGGGCTTGCCACCACAACTTTAGCATTTGTTATTGGTGTTCCTTCCCATTAACGCCTGCCGGACCTCGGTCACGCCCCAGTGTTGGTCAAACGCATCTGCCGCGTGGCCCGTTTTGGGGGCAAAACAGTGTGTGGATTAGTAGTGGGGTTGTGTGGGCTGTCTGTAGAACGCGCGACCGGGCTGTCGTGAATGAATGTACAAGGAATGTTGTCATGAATTGAGCGTTTTCCCTTTAGTTGTGTAAACTCGCATCTGCACTGCCAGCCTGAATCAAACAGGGACTCAGAAATGTCGAGCTCAAAAGGTGCACTTGTAAATGTCCAAACGATTGCTCCGTTATAAAATGACTAAGTAGGTTCTGCTGCGTCGTACAATTGTACCATGTGGAAGATCCACTTTCTTTTATTACAAGAGAGAGACAATTTTATCACCAGGACTATCCCTTTAGACGGAGCAGGCCAAACTTATCTCACTCGGTGCCTAATTTGGCTCCTTTTTCTTCGCGTCTTTGTCCTGCTCTTACGTAGATGCCATGATTAGTCATTTAGGTCTTTCGATACGTAATTAATCAAACCCTGCCCAAAGCCTGAACGCTTTTCTAGGCCCACGAAACGGGGCTGGGGATGCGGGCTTCAGCTCCAAGGGAACCAGTCAACCGATAATTACGGAAAGCGGCATTAACTGAGCTACCCTGGTTGCTGGATTTTGCACCCCTCAATTTATCATCCACGGACAATTGCAGGACAACAAACGCGACCGATTAATAAGACGCACCTTTTCATGCCAATATTCGCAGTCTTGAATGACAAAGCGCGACCCCTCATTTCGGTGATTATACTGCTGCACTCGCTGTTTTTAAATCAGATGACTAGGGTCCAACTTGCTGGTGCTGCCACTGCATTAAAGTGATGGCTGGCTGACTGTTAAAAAGACGTGTTTACCGGCCTCTTAAACTGTCCGGTTTTTGGACAACAACACGTCTGCTGCTCACTGGATGCTCGTAATCAAGCTATCCATGAAGTCAGAACCATCCTGTTCGCGTATATGTCGCAGACCCCCCTTAGTTTGTCACTTGTGTTGACCAGAAATAAAGAGGCGGCCTGGACCGTTCAAGAACAGGCAATAGACAGTTCTAACTACCACGCAAAATCTAGAATAATAGGTGACTGGGCTAAATCTCCAATGTAGCGTTAGAGACGGGAACTTTTCCACCCAACTCTCGGCTTTGTCAGGGCCTGGTCACTGTTGATGCTACCTCTTTCTCCCATCTTGTCTCTGAGACTACGAGTTCTTCCGGCTTATTTTCTAATTAGGGCTCCGCTTACAAAACCAGATATGGATCGGAGACTTGCCCCGCGACCTTGTAGTACTCACGTTGGCCTGAGCAACGGTCACCATGATCGCTACATATCTGTTTGGTCGGCCTACCTCGGGACTGCTCACAACTCACTCCACCCTCAACTTTCTCGGCGCTCTCGAGTTTTCCGAGGCAACACTTCCCTTGAAAGTTTTATTTGAGAATTCATTCGGGGATCACTACACTTCGAACAGACAGGCCGGAAACGGACGAGATACCATGGCAGATGGATTTGTCCATTTTACATATAATGCGACCCCCATGAAAATTATTCCGTCTGCAGGCGATCTGGGTCGTGTTCGTCTTCTATTTGCTGTCTGGATGATGCTTTCTTAATTGCACTGATCGTTGCGTCGGGCTATCATAAATATGCCTGTGCGGATGGTAATTTGATATCGTCGGTCGGTACTTTCGCATATCCTGTCGCTTTTTAAAGACACCAAGCCGACCGTCAGGCATCCACCTAACTCGGCCAGTCCAGGCCTACTTTTGTGTGCTTGAGAAAATACCCTTTCTTCCAGGATGTAATCTGTAACGGTCAAATTAGCTGACTTGGCCAGGTGCCATTGGATCACTCGGTCGCTGAACCTCAATTTGGTATCACCTCCATTACTTGCCCAGTTATTTCCCTTTCTTTAATGTAACGTCCCTCGTATTTTGCTAATGACTTTTTTCAAATGAGTTGACGAAAGTCAACTGGCAGTCGTACGTTCACAAAATTCAAGGGTAATCTTCCCATCTAGCCATTTTCTGTTAACCAATAGGTTATTTCATGTCATTACACGTTTTCCAGATGATATGAATATTTTTACTTTTTTTAAAGAATTATGAAGACTACGTCCAACAAGTTAGCCGTGGACTCCAGCCTAACCTAACGTCCCTTGTAAGTTGGTTAAATCAGTCGACCTTCTATAATTAATCGTTATTAAAGTATTGCGAGCATTGCTCAGCTGACTTCCTGGTTGTTTAGATTAGGACCTTAGGTCGTTGGTGTTTTCGTTGATTATCGCTAGGATGTGCATGCTCAATCGCCCACTTTGCTCAAGACGATTTTCTCCACAAATCACCCAGGGCTTAGACTTCCGATTTGTCTCCTTCTAGCGTCCTGATGATCAAATGAGGAGCCTCCTATCGAACAGTGGAGACGACGATCGCCGCGTGAGTTTAGTTCCAAGTTGTACTTTGCTGTCACCCCGCATAGTTTGCCGTCACTTCCATTCATTTCTGGCGGGATGCACGTCCACCTTAGCGTGTCGCTGAATTCCCGAGATTTACGCTCTACCGCCGCAAAGACGTAGTTAGATTTCTCTTGCATCTGAGCTCCAGACCACTCCTTTAAGCGCCACTACCAAAAGTGTTTTTTGTTCTTTCTCACTTCGTCCGCTTTGTTTTAGTACGAAGAGCGAGTAGATGCATTCCTGCGTAATCTCCGTTCCGGAAAGTCGCGTAGCCGAACGTTTTCACCCTCGCCATCACCTCCGCCTCCTCGTCGGCACCATCATCATCATCCGGAGGACTCACACTCGTCTCGAGGTCAAGCTGACTATCGATACGGCGGCAGCAGTTCGGGCGGTCAACGCGGTCGCAGGTCGCCGGTTGAACACTTCAGGGCCAGTAGGTCACGCCGACGCGGCGACTACGGGACTGCTGAGGATGATGATGATGACTTCCTGGAGCACAACCCCTACATCCGTGCCCAGGGCGTGTCTTCCCGTGGACGTCGCAGTCGGTCGCGCAGTGACAATCGCCATCACCGTCACTTTGATTACGAGGACCACGAGGTGGCGGAGGAGGAGGACGATGTACTGGCTGAGGCCGACGACTACCGTTGGCAGACAAACAGCCTGCTACGAACTCCACGCTCTGGCGGCGCAAGACTCGCCCGCCAGAGAAGTCGGTCCTACTCGCGCAGCCGTGGCCGCCAACATCGTTGACTGTCAGTTAAGTCATTGTACATAACCCTTGAAAAAATAAAAAAAATACCCTAGTCTTAATTCTCAGTGATTTCTGTGGTAAATTCTCGGACGAGGGTCGGGCCTTTTTGCGTATGCCAGCCGTAAGGTTGGACTTCGTTTGATCTTCAAAAACATGCGGGACTTGTTTGTGACGCCCGAAGTGTAGGTGGGCAGATGCTCTCTACGGAGTTGCGAGCGTTTAATCGCAGTCCTATTCTTCTCAGAGGTCGGGCGGCGTGGCTCTTTGCCAGTTCGACCATGGCAAGCAGCAGTATCGGCGAGTGGCGCGTGAGTTAGTCAATAGTGAAGCAGATTTGGGCGGCATCGACCACGTTGCGATGGCAAGACCGACAAAGATGGACAGCTCGTGTTCGCCTGCTACACACGATGTGGTCTCTCTACCGCATCTGTCAGGACGACTGGGATCTCACATGCGCGAAATGGCCGCGTTAAGAAGAACCTCAATGTAACCGGACTCCCAGTTCTGGGAAGGAAAGAGCTGCCCCGCCAGCTGGCATCCCTCCAAGCACGTCGTGATGGATTCGACGGTCCCCGGATTTGTTATTAGGAAGGAACGGCCTCAGCCTCTGCCAGTGGGTTGTGGGAGCGTACGTTGTGGCTTACGCGACCTAAAGGCCTGCGCCCCGGGGCGTACCGCTGAACCCACGCGCGGCAGTAATGAGGTAGCACGGACTGGGCACAGTCCGATATACGCGTGCCAAGAGCGGTCCCGACTCCAGTCTCGGTTCAGCGCAGTTCGTCGAGGAGTCACGTGTGTTAGGCTCAGATGGCCCGTTTGAGTCCCGAGCCATTCCCGGCTGGGGTTGGGGATATTGTTGGCTGGTGACGGCCTGCGAGTCGATATTGTCCGTCACGTCCCTCCTCCCTCTCCTCTTTGTTACAAGCACTTTTTTGCCCATCGCGGCATAGCAGCCTGCACGGACTCTAGATCTGGACTCTCAGAGCCAAACGGGACGTCTGATCTCTGCCCTGTAATCAAGATGGGTCAGTGAACACCATTCCGATGGGACTTTGAATATTCCCGATCGCGACTGACGGGGTGTGAATCCGCGCCTCCTCCTCCCCCCCTCTCCTCCCTTCACCTCCCTCCTCCCCCCTCATGACATGCATTTTTGCAGTCATATCTTCACCCCTGTTGGTCCCGGATAGCATTTTTGTGGACGTCCTACCGCTGGTCACGACGCGTCGTCCGAATGCGCTGAAATTGTGGGCGGAGGGGACGGTCGAACGTCTGGCGGCGCCGTCTCCACTGTGTGTCACTTCGACCCTCGCTGCACTGTCCACCCTTACTCACCTGAACTCTTGATCCGATGGGACTTTGAATATTTATGATCATGAATGATGGGGTATGAGCCCACGCCTCGACAGGCCAGCACGTAAGCTTTTTTCGTATGCGACTTTGGAATCATATCTCAACTACTGCTGGCCCTGGGGAGCATTTTCGTGGGACGTTGTTTTACCGCTGGTCACGGCGCGTCGTCCGAAGGCGCTGAAATCGTGGACGGAGGGGACGGCGCCGTCTCCATTGTGTATCACTCACACCTTCGCGGACGACGATGGCCACTGCGTATCCCACAGCACGGTGGGATACGCAGGATGGTGACTCGCGCCTGAACTTGCATCTAGTGGTGGTGGACTTGCGCGGCACCTACCTCACTCGCCACCCATACTCGCCTGAACACGGTGCCAAGACAGAGTTAGAACGACCGGAGGCGCCTTCAGTTGCAGTGACTGACAATGCCAAGCGGTCCGTCTGCGAGTGACACACGACCTGACTCACCCAAAGTAAACTAAGTTTTATACAGTGACAAGAAGAGGGCTGGAATCCTATCTGGCCATGTGTACCACTGGGGCCACATGAAGAGGGAACCATTGCATCCAGACTCGGTCCACCATTCAGCCACTCCACGCAGAGGACTAACCGCAACAACCGATTTCTCACGCCGGTTGTCAGCCACGACTTAGCGCGGCGTGATAGATTCAAGCGCGTCACACTTACAACTAGTGAGGAATGTGCCGAAATGGGAGTGGGAATGGAGGACCGAGGGTCGGCCTTAGTATTTTCCCCCTCTCTCGTACACCAGCTGTTTACCCAAGCTTGTCAGTCACCTGGCGCTGGAGTTGCGCACTGGTTGGCAACATCGGCAGTCCGTCTGCGCGTACCACGCACAGCCTGGTGATCAAGTCATACACCAGGAGACATCAGGGGACATACTTCTCACGCGCTTGAGAGATGTATGTTCTGCGCGGTTGGTGAGTGGTGTGAGCCGGGTTTATTTCTGGTCTGGGGTGTATGAACCAAGGGGGGGGACGAGGTGTGATGACAGGGTTCAGAGTGCAGATCTTCATGTAGACGCATGTCACAAAGTGCGCCCATGCAGTGGCTGAGAACCTCCTCAGCTGACACATACGCAGACAGCAGCTGACCGTGTCACGTGAGCGGTTTGCTGGCGCGCGCCGAGTGATCCAGTCTACCACGCGGTTGGAATGCCCTACTTAGACCCTCACGCACAACAGGGCATGTGAATCTAAGCAATTACTTCTATCATGCGGTTGGAGGGCGTTACTGGGACAGGACGGCCCTGATGCAGCAAGGCAAATAACACAAACAGTTGCTGTCATTCAAGTCACCTCTCAATCGTTTGGGGGGGGGGTGAGATTGAGTACAGCCGGCTGACGATGTTAAGACACAAACCGAGATTCTGGCCTTATCCCGCATGGTAAACTTTAAGTCGATTTACAAGAGGAACGATGGACTCGTTTGCTGACCTGTGGAGAGTCTGTGAGATACTTGAGGTTAAGGTGATACCATACTAACAGCACAGATATTGTCCAAGAGTCCATACACGCATGTTTTGCCGATATTCTGCCGCTGCGAGGGGGTCGGCTCGTCAGTGAGTCCACCAGCATAACATTCTCGATCTGAGCCTATAGACCTTGAATAAACTGATCTACTCCAACTTCGTAGATAATTTCTGAGGAAATTAAAAAGAGACAGTCTGTGAGATGTTGTGATCCAGTGTGTCCCTTTTTTCCCCATAGCAATAATGACATTCACTTCGTCTCCCTCAGATCTTATCAATTTCCCACAGCACAATTATGCATAGACTGACTACTGTACAATGCATTTAGTAATTTTAATGTTCTTAACACTTTAATAATTCGTTTATTTGTCCGGTCTAGAAAAAAATTCTGCAGATGTTTGATGTTTCCATTCCACATTCTTGATATAATTCGTCTTCTTGTAAGAACTAGGGAGTTCGAAGGTTTAACACCTACACTTCCATCAAATAAACTGAACTGAAAAGTATGGATCCAAACGTCCACGTCTTAGAATCCTTCCTCAGATGGAAGCGTAACCATTCTTAGAAGAATTGATCCGACGTCAACCTCTCTAGACTACATGCGAATCTTGTGAATAGTCGGAAGTATGTTTGCAAGGAGATACCCAAAATACAGAAATTATATTCTTTAAGCAAGTGCGTTAGCAGTACTGGCCTTTCCCGCCAAGTCCGTTTACCAGACACTTCCTGCTCAATTGGCCAGAGCGATTGTCTTATTAAATTCCCTCCCCTAAAGCTCTCGGCGATTTTGCGATGGCGAGCTTTAGGGAGCAATGCACCAACGTCAAGCTCTGTTTTTTCTTGTGAAAAACGGCGCAAAAAAACAGTTTAAATGATTTGCTGATCTTATGGGAGGCGTGCTCTAAGCCAGTCTACAATTTACGAGGGACCTGCCGGGTTCAGAAATGGCCGGACGTCACCTGAAGATGAATTCCCCGCCGGCGTACTCATCAAAGTCCAGAACGGACGAAACTGTCCAAAAGATGCGTGATTTCATCATGTTAGACCGTCGCAGAACATTCGGCGAGTTGTAGGGAAAAACTGAGATTCCCTGAGGTCCATACAAAAACATCCTAATTGAAGATTCGCGCAGGAAACGCGTCGAGGCAACTTTTGTCCCATGACTGTTTTCCAACGACCAGAAAAAGAACTATCTGAGTGTGCGCCAGGAATTGAAAGAACGGACACAAGTCTATCCTGATTTTTTCGTCAGAAGTCACCATCGGGGATGAACCGTAGTGTCACGGCTATGATCCTGAAACTGAAAACAACAGCCCCGCCAGTGGAAGCCAGCTTCATCGCTCAGAGCAAAAAAGGCATGGCAAGTGAGACCGAATTTGAAGTCATTGACGGTTTGTTTTCTCTGGGCATCGAAGTGGTAGTTTAAGTTTAATGTGCTCCTCACGGTACCACAGCAACCCAACGATTTTGTGAGGCAGCGAGAAAAATGACCTAAATTATGGCGATCGGGCTGCTTCATCATGAATACGCTCCTGTCCACAAAGCGTTCAAAATAAATTGGTTTTTAGCGGGAAATGGCATAACAGTGGTTTCTCACCCCCCCCCCCCCGATCCACTGACCCCATCTAACCGCTTACGACTTCTTTTTCTCAAAAATGGAGAAAAACCTAACGAGAGAGGGTTTTCAGAACGTTGAAGAGGTTAGGGAAAAATCGCTGAAGACACTTAACAGGGCTAGTTCAGAAGAGTGTAAAAACTGCCCGAACAGTGAAAGACCCTTTGAAACAAGTGCATGTCATCTAGTGAATAGTATTCTGAAGGAGTTTAATTTTTTAAAGATGTTATTCTGAACAAAAAATATGAGTAACCACTTCTCATTTTTGGGCACCCCGTCGCTAAAGAATGAATATTTGCGAAATGCCTCCTGGTTAGACCCGAATGCATCTACCTGAGTGAAATTAGAAGACCTGAAAACATGATCTCCAGAGATTTCGGGGCAGTGCGGCTTCTGAATTTTCAGCATTTACTAGTGTCATCTGGCATGACTATATGATTTTCTCAGGACCCAGAGGAGCCGTTTGGCTACTCGTACTCTCGTATTTTCTAGCCATAGATTTTAATGCGTTAGTTCTAAACTCACGTCTAAGCGTCCTACCTTATCAGCTACAGTAGATGTGCTAACTCATGAAATGTCAACCAAAATTTCGAAATGCGTTATCGTCTCGAAAAGATAAATTAAGTAGTGTTGTAAAACTAATCATGATGCAGCATGAATCCATAATGATCCAGTTACCTCAGTGTGTCGGCTTTCGAAAGAAATTATTTTCGGCTGCATGCAAGATCTATACTCTGCAAAAAATGACTACTTATGTAGCATGCAATTTTCTCATTGATTTTCGATGCCCTTGAAAATTCTATTATATTTCATGGAAAACATGCATAAAAATATTCATTCTTTTACTTATTCCGTAGAAAGTCACGTCTTATTCCAACTTCATACTCAAAAAGAAGAGTATAATTTGGTTTTGAAAAACGTTTCTAATTCCCGAACAATTTTGAACCCGACCTGCTGTTACACTTGCATTCAGGGTTTCAAAACTACAAGCTGTATATTTTCCGTGTACGGAAAACCATGCATTTCTCTACGGCGTCAAGAGGCGACCATATGAGATTCATAAAATTAAGCAGTGGATTTGAGCAATATTGTTAACTTTACAAGCCACATTCGTAAATGCAGATACATGACGTTTCATGAACGGCCATTTAAGGGTATTAATTAAAAAATCTCACCATTAGAAACTTTTTTTAAAACCGAATAATACTCTTCTTTTGAGTATGAAATAGGAAGATGACGTGATTTTCTACCGAATAAGTAGAAGAATGAATGTTTTTATGCATGTTTTCCATGAAATATAATTGAATTTTCAAGGGTATCGAAAATCAGTGGGAAAATTGCATGCTACTTAAGTAGTCATTTTTTGCAGAGTATAGATCTTGCATGCAGCCAAAGATAAGTTCTTTCGAAAGCCGACATCCTGAAGTAACTAGATAATTATAGATTTATTCTGCATCATGATTAGTTTTACAACACTACTTAATTGATCTTTTCGAAACGAGAACGCATTTTGAAATTTTGGTTGACATTTCATGAGTTAGCACATCTACTGTAAATGACAGAAATCTCCACGAAATCACGAAGACGGAATCACGCACCAGGCCGGAAGAGCGTAAAATTTGGACCTGACTCCGACCGACAGTGGGTCATTTAAATGTCAGTCAAAGTGATGATGCGAATCTAGAAGTCGAACTTCGAAAAGCCAGGGAAACGTCCAAATTATGATAACTTGTATCGAGCCTTATCACAACATGACCTGAAAATACTCCGAAAGACGCAAGCATATAAGGCACTCCCGACTCGTATCAGTTTGACACAAATATCGCGCAGGAATCCAATCTGTCGTCTACTCAGCAAAATGCGATAAAAAGCAGCAGGCTTCGGTGTCTAGGATGAAGGGCACACCTCAATCCCAACGGCATACAGGCAAGGTCGGGGCTGGCAGCCTATGGTGAAAGACGTCAGGATGGAGGATGAGGGAAATCGAATGCGTAGAGGAGTGAAATGGTGTGAGGAAGCGGACGACGCTAATTCTGTGCAGAGGTTTGAGCGGTCTGGGCGGCCTGCACGCATGTCCGTTCACCAGAGTAAGGTGGGACTCACGATGAACGGAATTGAACGTGACGGCAAATTCAATGAAGCAGACGGCCGTCGGTTGTTGGTAGCTATGGCGAAATTCGAGAATGCGCCTCCGTGTGAATATCTGGTCTGCGCATCCACATCCACCACGAAATCCGGCTTGGTTGGGCCTCGTCCTTGAGTCACGCACAGTCTGGAATCGCCTGAGTAGGACAATAGCTAAGACCTTCGCAGCAACGTCATTGAGACTTATGCGGCGGCAGTTCTCGCATCTCGTCTTATCTCCCTTCTTGAGGATAGGTACAAGGATGCCTAAGCCCCAGTCATCAGGAACAACCTCGATTCTCCACGCTCGTTCAATCACCTCATGGAGCCAGGACGCCAGAGCGTCGACCCGAGACTTGAAGATCGCAGCGGATATACCGTCCTCTCCGGGTGCCTTATTGTTGCGCAACTTTCGTACGGCATCGGCAACTTCTCCTTCAGAGGGGGTGTCGCATGGTACAGCATAGGTAGGAGAGGGAAGAAAATCCGCTGAAGGGGAGAGTAAGGGCGAGGTAGGCTGGGCATCGAAGTTGAGATGGTGCTCAAAGTGCGCACAGCAGAAGGGCTTGGCGGATCAGTTGATAGAGTTTTCGAGTGTCACCAACGTTCGAGGCCTGTTCAATGGAGGTCGCTATTTCAGCCCAATATTGCTCCCGGTCGTCCGTGGCCGACTTTGCCGTCATCTTCCGAAGTTGGCGGAAGCAGCCATCGTTACGGGACCTGGCTCGAGCCGTCTGAGAAGACAACTGCAGAGTTCTTCCGCTGACCCAGTCACTGCGGCGTCGCTGGGTGTATCCAAGGGCATTCTCAGCTGCCACATAGACCGACTTCTTCAGTGACGACCACTGGTTACTGCCTTCTCCGTCGCCTCGGGTCGTAAAACAGGTCCGGATTTCTATGCTCAGGGCCTCGGCAGTGCTGTTTTGCCGGATTTTTGCGATATCGAGGTGTCTAGGATGCGATATTTTTTGACGCGGATAAGAGATGAACTTTCAAGTGTGTACGGACAAGGACATGGTTCGACCAATGGGCGTTACCAGTCTCGGCACCACGCATCGATCTGCTATCGTGAACCCAGCTGCGGAACCTTGAGCTGACTAGTATGCAATCAATTTGACTTACCGTATGGCCGTCATTTGAATACCAGGTCATCAGATTTTTTTTGCGATGATGGAAACATGTTGACAAGCAGTCGGTTTCGATCAGCGAAGTTCGGCAATCTCTCAGCATTTTCACATCGAGAACCAAGTCCAAAGCGGCCAAGATGACTGGTTGTGGGGTCGCCAGGTCCAGTTCGACCATTTCAATCGCCTGCAACAATCAGCAGATCGCGGCGAGGCAGTCTTTCAACTAGCGCTTGCAATTGAGAGTAAAACGCCTCTTTAACGCTCTGTTCGGCAGCCGAAGTTGGTGCGTACACAGCGACGATGGAGATGTTCGTGAAGTGACCCTCCAGTCGCGCGAAGGGCATCCGGTCATTGACTGGTTCCCAAGCATGTAGCGCAAGGTCCGCTTGTTTTGATAGGGCGATCGCCACACCGTGTCAACCAGAAGAGTCGCGCGGGCCGCTGTGGTACAGGGGTAAAGTGTGATTCGACTCCAGGGACCTTTATTTCGCTGGAGCCTGAGTCAGGGAGTCGAACTTCTGACAGACAGAAGGCACCCACGTTGTACTCATCAAGGCTGCGTGCGGTCAGATTTTGAGTACCGGGGTCCAGAAACGTTCGCACATTCTAGCATCCAATACCTAGAGTCCGTCCACGATTGAGTAGTCCAGCTCGCATACTATTCGCCCGCACCATTGGACCAGGGTTGCGGAGCGCATCGGTTCCCGCGGACGCCGTAGCATGGGTCGTAATAATGTGATCGGACATATTTCATGAGGTTTCTTGGGAATTTGGAATACGGGCAGGTCCCCAGCAGCCACTCGAATTGTTTATTCGAGGTTGGCTCCTCCAGCGCTTTGGCTCAAAAGCCTAACCACAAGGCAGCGGTGGCAAGCAAACCTATGTAATGGCGGTTTACGGCCGCCATGTCACAATGCCGTCATTTGGTTTTGCGGCTTTCTATAAGTCTTTCAGCGATCCAGACCTCAGCCCACCGCACCCTGGTAGCAATGTCGCTGCCGCTTATTCGTCAGACCTGGGTGTGCTTATTTCGCAGCTAACCTTCACTGAAGGTCGTCCCGCTATCCGCCACCTGTGGACGCGCCGAGTAGCCAGCAGCTAGGCTAACGGGCAACCCGTCGCTGAACAGCCCAGCTGCAAGGGGATCCAGCATCCCAAATGGATCCTTAGCGCTCTCCGTGTGGTATGTGCTAAGAAATCCAGTTTTCTAGAGTTAGGTTTATAAGTTATGAACCTAAGTGAGGAAGAAGAAGAAGAAGAAGAAGAAGAAGAAGAAGAAGAAGAAGGAAGAGAGGGAGAAGAGGTTTCGAGCACCGGAACATTTTGTTTACTGTCCTGAGCTTTCGGCTCCGTGCAGGAGTCCATCGTCAGAGGTAGTAGCAGAACGAGTCCGAACGCTCAGGACAATAAACAAAATGCTCCGGTGCTCGAACCCTCTTCTCCTTCTTCACTTATGCATACACCTGGAACTCGGAATTTCGCCTTCATTCGTCAGTTATGAGCTTGTTGTGAGACCTCTGGGGGACGCATCCTCACATCCCGCACCGAAGTTGATATGGACACTAGACTCTCACAATGCGGACCTCATGTGAAAAATAGTGTGGTGCCCAGCCTCTGCAAACAAGTAATATGAAGCGCAGTAAATGTGAATCAAAGTGGATTTGGCGTACTATAAACACGGACGTAGAATTTCTATGGGCATTATTCGGTGAGATCTGGTTCAGCTAAGGGGAAGCAGCCCGCTGTGGCGTGCAAATTTCTGGCGAATACGTTTTGCTACTTCTGCAGTCGGCCTAATTTGGCAGAAAGCGCAACAAAAAAGATGGCTGATTCTTGGCGTGAGGCCGGCAAACACACGGCACGCGAGGGAAGGGGGAGACGTCCGGTCAGGCAAGCCCATCTTCAGTGGTCTCGCAATCCGAGTAGAATTGATGCCGTGTACAGCTCCTTAAGGATCGACGGACGAAGGTGCGCAAACACGGCTAGTTAAGGATATACATAAGCGTAATGAAGTTGGCTGATTTTTATTAATGAAAGGAATATAAAACATTATTTTTCCTCTTCCTCTTCTTCCTCATCGGGTAGGAATGCGCGGATGGCATCTATGAGTTCCTGTTTCACAGCGTCAGGGACCATTTTTCTTCCAACTGGCGTTATCTCAGTTACCAGATCGTCAACGGTCACATTCTCCAACCCCTTCTTCTGTATGACTTCTAGAACAAAGGGGAGAAACAAAAGTGGCAGACTATAAGGCAAGCTGGAATAGAAAATACGGCGAAGTAAAAAAAACAATTTAAGTCAGCATCCAAGACAAGATTTATTACCGAAATGTTTAATTCATCCAGCATCCTTAAAGTTGGGGGATCTTGCGATTTTTTGAAGGATGAGAGGAAGATAATTATAATGGCAAAGGGTCTATTACCCCCAGTTCTTACATCCAAGCAGCTGGTGGAAATGTGGCCGTTCGAAGGCTAACAACGGAGGATCGGACGCTGGGAGGATACAAACGCCCATTGACCCAAAGCAAATAATAAACGTAGGCGAGTTTTACCTCCGACAGTACCGTCTGTATTTCGTGTAATGGTAGAAACTAAGGCAATTTACGTTAACTATTTTTACTAAAGCTGGCTTCGTTCACCAACACAGACTCAGGTAATTAAATAAGTGCGATTGACCTCAATCTCAAAAACGAAAATAGGCACGAAGGAACCGGTCGCTAATAAGTAACCAGCCCAGTTAATGCGATGTTTGCAAAGAGCAGAACGCAGTGGGCTTTTCTAGAAAATAGGTTCAAAAGATTACAATATCTCCGGGTGTTTGGCGCTCAGACAAAAAAAGTGGCTGTTGTCCCAACCGGCAACGTTGAAGTGTAAAACACCACACACTATCGATTAATCTTTGTGCAACTAAAAGCCCATACTTTATGGAAAAATAATCCTACTATTCATTGCACGCTCCAATTACATGCGAATGCACCAGAGTAAGCAAGCACACGTTGCTGGAATTTCTACAAACAGGCACAGGTTTGTAAGTAGTCTTACGCCTACTAACAAGGAGAATTTCAAATATTACATGCATCTGCAATGCAGTACTCCACTCCAAAATAGTAAAATGTCATGGCAGTCAAAATAATCGCCTACTACAATAGCCGCAGAAAACGATAAGACGGTCTGACATAAGGAGTATTTTACGTCCTTACAACTACTTCTGGTCTACAAGATGTGCACACCCTGATCCGTGCAAACATCAACAGACGTTGGCATTGGCATCTCATGGCAGACGTGGTGGTGCGGGGAGATAGAGCTCATCCACAAACGCGAGTACTCGAGTTAACGCAACTCCCACTGCAGTTTAAGGAGGCGTTCGCTTCAAAGGAGTCCAGCCAAGCGGACGCTACGTGCCGATGGTCAATTCTAAATAACTAACTCAGGAATTTTCAGTAATAGAGGGACAACATGGCATGACAAAGCGGTGTCGCTGGTGCTCAGAACACCTGGCTTACATGCTCAATCCAATTTCCCCGTCGGCACCAGACAACAAATTGCCCGAAATTTAAGAGGGTAGGCAAAATCTCACAGAAACGACGGCAAATACACAACGCCTAAGTTGGAAACGGCCGCGGGCAACGGCTTGAGAAAGCGGAATTAGCCACCAATGCTATCCTACCCATGGACAGTAAGCGTACGCGCCAATTATAGGTCTGCATGTAATCTGTAATCAAATTGTAGCTAAACGTCGCCCTCTTAGAGGACCGTCGCGAAAGCTTCAAGGTCTAGAGCACACAATTGTGTCTGATAAACCTTGTATCCGCTAACAAACACTTCGGTTCCCGGCTGTGACTTGCAACGCTGGTGGCCACACTGATATATGGAAAACGCAGCATAGGAAAATCAAAATGTGTCGTGTCCTCTGCTGTGCACCATAATCACAAATGACAATCGAGGATAGCTAAACGGCGGACCCATCACGCAGACACAAAACTAGTTAGCAAAGGGCCAGTTTTGTGCGTCAAAAGCGACAGCAAGAGGCATTTGACCAGTCAGGACGAAGTATAAGACTATTCTGGAAAATAAATGAATAATTGGCTCAAAGCAACAGATACTTCGGGGTTTGTAAATGCAGACTCACCTTTGCAATAGGCCTTAAGCTCATCCCGCCAGCCACACTCAAACAGACGAGTTTTAAGTAGGTCTTTTAATCTCTCCCGTTCACCCGTGCGCGTTAGCTTTTCATTTATGTAGGCTCTCAGCTTCGCTGACTCGTCTCTGTAAAGAAGACTATTAAAAATCCAGAGACATTTACTGAGAAACAGACATAGTTACGCTGGCATGCGTGTCCACATAAAACTAACTCTGAGCGCCGATTACCTGCACCAGACACAGCCAACGTCAGGGACCAAGTCTTTTTCTTGACAACCAAAAGTACCAGACCACAAGGGTTGCGTAAAAGACTAAATCAAATAAAGCAAATAATTAATACTCAGTTAAAGACAAAGACGGCTTCAATATACGAAATAGGAAGGCACAAGTTGCATGAACTGAAATTCGTCAACAACCGTTTTTTCTCTCCAGAATGTTTGATCGCAGTTACGTACAGTCAACCCACGGGGAGAATTATCTGACGGGCATCTTTAGCTCGATAGTTTTCTGGCAATAATAACATGGAAACGGAATGTTAAAATTTTCAGTGTTGGTTTCACTCGCTTTTAGCCTACAGACGTCTTGTCGGTAAGAGTATGCCTTTGGTCTCTCATGCGCAATTCGTGACAGAAAAATTGTATATTACATGACATTTATAGTTCCTCCATATCCATTGATTGAATCCTCCTTCTACGCTAAAGAAAAAATGCATCCGATCAGATTGGTTTTTTAAAGTCCCACTGGCTAGAATCCAACGTCCCCTACCACTGAGCTACGGGCTCGTTGTTCTGTTGGCAACGATCACTCTTTGTGCCTAAGGTCCCTCTTTCGGGACCAGCCAGCAGCCGCACCGCGATGCATGACAGGAGTAGAATTGCATTGCCGATAAAGAGAATGCTTTTCTGCCTGCAACATGCGCCACTATGCGGCTGGTGTTTGGGCTCGAGAGAGGACCCCAAGGCACAACGGAACGAGTGAGCTCCGTAAAGCGATTGGTGAGCACCCCCTACAACATGTGCATTTATGCATGTGTGTAATTCCACCGGCTCCAATTTATTTTCCACTCATTCTATGAAAAGAATAAGCCCTCTGCTAGCGTCCAGCCTATCCTTCCATTTGTGTTCGAGCCTGTAATTCGGGGTGGCTAGACTCCGAGTAAGCGTTACAGACAAATGGTATTTATTTATTTCCATGATTGCGCGAACCGATAACAACATTAGTTGTCCATCAAATCTGATGAATACCAAGACATGGCTGGTTACTGTATTTCTATCATATACATACTAATAGATGATATCGAGGCCTTATATTCTATAGATTCGGCAAGGCAGCGAAACGTATCGGAAAGACCATTTTTGCTTTACTTAAGGTAAGCAGTTCCGTTACGGAAATTTATATTTTCCAGACGCGCTCTTAGATAGCTGACGTTATAGGTGCAACGAAGGCTAATTCACCTTTCATGTACGTGGCGGTTTCATTTGAAGGTTTTTGTAATGTAAAAATGGCTGTTGGGGTTTAATAAGATGTCCGAATCGGATCAGAGAGTTAGAGGGCAGCTTCTCACCCCTCGTCTTTTTGCGCCTCTGCGGTGCAGATAGGCCATTGTGTATTGAACATGCCCCGGACACCTGCTATGAGACCGCGTTTTTCACACGTACGGACAGTTCGAACGTCGCGTCCGACGATGTCCGCCGTATGCCCCACAGAAGGGTCGGGGCAGGGACGGTGACTTGCGCAGGATTATAGTGAGAGTAGACTTGTGCTGCATCTAGCACACTCTTCCCTCCTCCTCTTCGCGGATGAAACGAAGAGATGGATCAAGACCCAGAGGTAAAGTGCTTTGCAAAGATGCCTCTAACCAATTTCATGTTATCGGAATTACCTATTTGAAAGCTTCCGTTGTCAAAAGAGAATTTCTCAACCACGATTGGTGGGGCGCTGACGACGTAAAATCTGTACGACTGATTTCGTAAGGCTCAGGTAACTGAGCGTCACTAATTCTCTCTGTCAGCCGCGCGCATGACACATCTTCGTGGCCAATTCGAAAATTGCTGCTATTATTGGATGGATGGCCAAAGGATAGATTGACACATCTTGCAGATACCCTTCAAACTGTAAAGTCTACTAGAAAGCAACTGAGAAACAAGTGAATTACAAAACCTTCGTTTCTGACCCCTTTAAGCTGCAAATTCTAAGTTTTCTTTGTAGGCAATCGACATGAGATCACAATGTATTTTTGCATTTTGACTGGAGAGAGCAGGTCGTACTGGTCTAATAATCTTAAAAGTTGCCTGTTATGTCATAGTCTACGACGTCCAAATTCACGTAGGTTACAACTATGCGAGTCTTTTTTGAAAAGGCAATCGGAATACGACAGTGGATCAATTCATGACCATATCCGAAAAGGTTCTGTTTGAAATCTACGAACACGAAGTCGCTTTTGCTGATAAAGCTCAGACTAAAATGCAATTTTCTCTTGGTGGACGGGTCAAGAGGTAACAGTTGGAAAAATTAAAAATATCTTGGAAAGAGTAGAATCTAGGCGAATAGAAGACCGAAAACCAATCTTCTTCAGGTAAGTTAAAGTCTGCAGCATTTATTTTGACGCCAAAGACAGATTCCGAAACTAATTTAAAGGCGAGCAAAACTGAGTATCATCACTGGTTGATGCGTTTGGAGGAATGCAGATGCAACTTAAAATGGCTTGTCTTTTCAGGGACAGAATAATGTAAACGAAGGCGAAATTTACAGAGGATGAAGGAGCATCTGGGTCGTATATAAAGCGATTAATGGAGGATCTAACATAAAGAAGACAGCTGTAACCACGCCCAATTATATAATCCTGACGACAGAAATCCAAAATCTCCCGTAAATGCCTAAAAGATCGTAAGGCAAATACGTTGTCTGACAACTCAGATAAGGCGAATCTGTTATCCGCCTTTTTCACGTCTGTGTATACTGAGGAGCCGGCTTTTGATGAAGGAGTTTACGCCCCCCCCCCCCCAATTGTTAAATCAAACAGTACAATTAACACGGTGGACTTCACAACAGACATGGTAAGGAAAACTTTGAGGCAGCTACAGCCCACTAAATCCCCTGGTCCGGACGGCGTGTTCGCAAAAGTTCTGAATGAACTCTCAGACCAACTGGCCTCTCCGTTATCCAAGATCTTCAAAACATCGATGGAGACCGGGGCTTTGCCTCTCGACTGGAAGAAAGCAAATATAAGCCCCATTTATAAAGGTGGCGAGAGAACAGCCCTAAATAGTTTCAGACCAGTGAGTCTCACTAGCATGTTATGCAAGTTGATGGAAAGAGTAATAAAAACGGAGCAGATGCGGCACACCGAAGAATACGACTTGCTCAGTCTACATCAGCATGGATTTCGAAGCGGTCGATCCTGTTTCACCAACCTCCTAGTATCCATGGAGAGCTGGCCGGAATCAATTGACATGGACTTACCAGTCGACGCCGTGTACATCGACTTCAAAAAGGCTTTTGACAGTGTTCCACACAGACGACTTATATGTAAACTACGTCAATTGGGTGTGAATAGAAATATTTTGAAATGGCTAGCCGATTTTCTTACGGGCAGATCTCAGCGTGTGTGTATCGGAAACGCTAAATCGGAATGGGCATCCGTGCACAGTGGCGTTCCGCAGTGAAGCGTTCTGGGTCCCATTCCGTTCCTAATATATGTGAACGACTGCCTGGACTGTCTGAACTGCGACCGAGTAATGTTTGCCGACGATCTCAAATTGTGGCAATCAATAGAGAAGCCGGAAGATTCTGTACAATTACAAGACAATTTAAATCGCTTGCAAAAAATGGTGTGATGAGTGGTGTCTTAGCCTCAATCGTAACGAATGCCAACTTATTCGATTACGTTCGAGCAACGGGAGGCCGTTGAGATTTGAATCTCAGTACTTTATAGGAGGTCACCAACTCGAATCAGTCAATGAGTTAAGAGACCTCGGTGTGTGGATGACATCAACTCTCAAACCATCGTCTCACTGCACCAAGGTATCAAAGAAAGCTATGGGTATTCTAGGCGCCATTAGAAGATCCTTCGACAATTTTAATGAAGAACTTTTCGGCCGAGTATTTGGCGCATACGTTCGACCAATGTTGGAATATTGTGTCCAGGCATGGTGTCCCTGGACGAAAAAAGATTACACCCTACTGGAGAACGTACAACGTAGAACGACCAGGCTAGTCGGCGGATTATGTGGCTTACCTTATGAGAGACGGTTGGAGAAGCTACAAATATTTCCTCTCTCTTATAAACAGTACAGAGGGGACATAATCATGGCCTTCAGGATCGTCCGAGAGCTAGACTGTGCTCTTCAGTTTGACGACTTCTTCGAACTGGCGCGGACGACAGATCTCCGAGGGCACTCATACAAATTGAAGACGAAACATGCCAGACTCGATTTGCGGACAAAATTCTTCTCTCACCGGCTGGTTGAGGGATGGAACAAATTGCCGAACTCCGTTGTCTTAGCGGAAAACGTCGAGACTTTCAAAAGAAGACTAGATAAACTTATGCTTGATGGTCAAACATTTACATGTTAACAATGACTGGCATAACTGCTATGTTAATATCTGCATGTTTTTTTTCAAACGTCTATCTTTCAATAGGGTTTTCCAAGGCTCTGCCTCTATCCCTCATATATACAGAATTATACTGAATTATAAATGAAGAGAGTTGGAAACTGGAGAATGGGTCCGAAATTCGGTTCTGCCTCGAAAGCAAAGACTAGTTTGGGTCAGCTTACTTGTAACCGACTCGGCATTTAAATATACAATACTTATCGTATTACGAGCAGTGTGCTATGGTCAGAGTCAATTAGGAAAGAAATTGGAGGTTGGTAAGAAGCTGTAAATTATTGTTATTTGATGAACGACTACACTTGGTCCCAGAATTATTGGTGCACGGACAGTCAGCAATGAAGGCCTGAGAGGTGGATCTAGGTGATCTTTGCTTACAGTTTTCTGCCATGAGAATATTAGGAAAGTTTAAACAGGGATATGTTAGTTAACGTGGGAAGGGGAAAGATCTGAAGGTAGATAAAGGCTGGTGCGGGGCAGACAGCTTTAAGAATCAGGTTATGAGAAGTCTGACCTAGAACGGATGATAAGGAAGTTGGTTCAGTTCATATAAAAATTAATGGAAT